GCTGAAAAGAAGGAGGCAGAAGAACAGGAAATGAAGCAGCACATGGAAGAAGAGAAACAGCGTGCTGAGGAAGCCTTCAAGGTTCTTGACAAGAATGGGGATGGCCTGTAAGTTCTTACATCTCTACCCTAAGTGTTTTTTTTTGGCTTATCCTTAGTACACATGGTACAAGCCATGATAATCATGGTGGGTAGAAGTAGACGGCTGCTTTTACTGTAAATGCACCACATGTCTACACACGTTTGATTACTTGCACTCATTGGTGGGGTTGGACTTTTGCAAGAATCAGGGGCCATTGGAGCATTTATTACCCTATGTGGTAGAATGTAAGCTTGCACTTGATCCCTGGTGATTCACAGAGAGAGAGAGAGCTATCAGGCCAGACAGTAGATATCTTGATGTAACGGTCACTATCTCGACAGACTGCCTTGATAAGGATGATTTAGTTTTGATTATCAGGGCCAAGATACCATCCTTCTCTCTTATCCCTTTTTTTTTGAAGCCTCCTCAAGAGAGACTGTTGTTTTTTTCTCAATTTTTAAAAGAAAATATTTTTGGATTTTTGATATCACACTTATACTACACAGTCCCATGCACATCCTTCTGTGTTATTTTTTTCAAATTGGAATAATAACAATATTTTTGTTAATGTTTATCAAGTTGAGTTTGAAATGTGTTGTTCGAAGTATGCTATTCTCAACCTGCAATCCCAAACCATTTGATTGACTATATTGACTCATCCATTGATGAGCTCTACTCATCCCCAGCAGACACCATCAACAAGCTCTACATGCTTGATACCCTGATATGATTGAGTGGAGATAAGGAAGAAGAGGAAGTTGATTTTGACCCTTGGCCACTTTTTGGATAAATTTTCTTCAATTTGATCTGTTGGTTACTCACAGCTTATCTAGTGACCTTCCATCTTTGACTCCTTTCAGACAGCTCATTGCAGGTCTCTCTTCTTCTTCCTTCAATTTTCCCTGTCTTTTCTAATCCATTTGCACTCTTATGTGTCCGAAGTATGTCAGTCTTTGCTTAAATATTTGGGATTCTAGGAATCAAATAGGATTAATTTTATTTGTGGTTGAAATATTTGTCCTCTTTTATCTGTCCTTGGCACTCTTGAGTAGTTTTCTCCATATCCACATGTCCATAGAGGGATAAGAGGTCAAATAGCAAGCCTAAAATGAATAATGGAAAGGCATAAGGAAATGAATAAAAATCTATATTTATGTTTTATTGACTATAGTAAAGATTTTGATTATGTAAATCACAATAAACCATGAACAACACTAAGACATACAGGAATGCCAGAACACCCCTAATTGTTATAATTAAAGAACTATATACAGAACAGGAAGCCATAGTTTAAACACAAGGTAATAAGACCAAATCCACATAAATAAATAGTTGTTACAACGTTGTTACCGAAACATCACACACTATTTATTTATTTGGATTTTATCATATTACCTTGTGTTTAAAATCTATAATTTAAAATTGTGCCTTGCCATAGTTTAAACTAAATATGGGAATACTCATTGGCTCAAATCACGAAATAGACTGAGGCAAGGCTGCTTACTTTCACCATATCTCTTCAACCTCTACACTGAACAATATCATGAGATTAGCAGATCTCGATAAAATAGTTGTAAACATTGGAGGAATGGAAACATGACTATATGCATTATAGCTCCAAAATAAAGGGGGTTAAAAACACAGGACTATATAACTATATATATATGAGTTTCACCAATATAATTGCCAATATCTATCTATATATATATAAATGAATGTTTGTCTGTATGTTGGTTTGTATGTCCCGTATACAGATTCGCAGTAGTTCACTAATTCAAACCAAAATTTCCATACATAGGTAAAAAATAACGGGGATGACGATAGGCTATTTTAAAATATATATAAATCATTTATTAAAACTATATTTTCAAATTATTCTACTTAGCTCACGAGCAGCGCCCTCTAGAACACTCAGGCGTCCTGCCGGCAGCCAATGGGCGCGCGCCGCCGGCAGGTATATATTTTCATTTTTTGCTATAACTGATCTAAATCAGCGTTTAAAATAACTGCTCTTGCTATATTTGCTATGTTTTATGTGTTTGAATAATACATTTAATCGTGTAAACCCGGGCGTTGCCCGGGTCATTCGTCTAGTCATCAATAATTACAACATTAAGTATTCTAATCTGATCAGAAAATGCTATTACAGTAGAACCTCCCTGTAAAGGACACCTAATTGCATAGCCAAAGTCTCCTTTAGAGAGAGGTGTCCTCTTACTGGAAGGTTGCTAAATAGTAAAACTGATAATTTTGCTAATGAAAACTGTCCTTTGTAGAGAGGTGTTCTCTTACTGGAAGGTTGCTAAATAGTAAAGCTGGTAATTTTGCTAATGAAAACTGTCCTTTGTAGAGAGGTGTCCTCTTACTGGAAGGTTGCTAAATAGTAAAGCTGGTAATTTTGCTAATGAAAACTGTCCTTTGTAGAGAGGTGTCCTCTTACTGGAAGGTTGCTAAATAGTAAAACTGGTAATTTTGCTAATGAAAACTGTCCTTTGTAGAGAGGTGTCCTCTTACTGGAAGGTTGCTAAATAGTAAAACTGGTAATTTTGCTAATGAAAACTGTCCTTTGTAGAGAGGTGTCCTCTTACTGGAAGGTTGCTAAATAGTAAAGCTGGTAATTTTGCTAATGAAAACTGTCCTTTGTAGAGAGGTGTCCTCTTACTGGAAGGTTGCTAAATAGTAAAACTGGTAATTTTGCTAATGAAAACTGTCCTTTGTAGAGAGGTGTCCTCTTACTGGAAGGTTGCTAAATAGTAAAGCTGGTAATTTTGCTAATGAAAACTGTCCTTTGTAGAGAGGTGTCCTCTTACTGGAAGGTTGCTAAATAGTAAAAACTGGTAATTTTGCTAATGAAAACTGTCCTTTGTAGAGAGGTGTCCTCTTACTGGAAGGTTGCTAAATAGTAAAACTGGTAATTTTGCTAATGAAAACTATCCTTTGTAGAGAGGTGTCCTCTTACTGGAAGGTTGCTAAATAGTAAAACTGGTAATTTTGCTAATGAAAACTATCCTTTGTAGAGAGGTGTCCTCTAGCATGAGTGTTCTCTACTGTCTATGTATTGTCACAGTAATGAAGGTGATGTTTGGGTAGAATAAAGTAATAATTTATTAGATAACTTTGAATAGTAAAATAGTGTTTGGGGATCAAAAGGAGAAGAGTTAAACTAAGTTATAAATAGATAACAATAAATATCAATTAAGGAAGTAATGCCAAAGACCCAAAAGACTGCCTATCAGCTATGCCCCCCAAGATGGCGGCTTGTTTACAAAACTTCTCACTCGCCATTTATCAGGGCTTAGGTACATAACACTTGCCGAGCTGCTGATGTATTATTTATAGCTACACGCTATATACCTTTTTGGTTATGACAGTATATATATAGAATGAAATTTCATCTATAATGTCTTATTTGGAAGGAGTCTTGTTACTTTTCATCCTCCTACTCCTTCAATGCCTTCCTCCTTAAATATCATTATATATACTCCAGAAACTTACAGATATTAACTTGGCAAGTTCATCTCAATTTGCTTGAACTTCTTCCTAAACTTGGTGTATTTTCTCTCACAACAGTGATAGGAATGTAGTATATGTAATATGCATTATCACTACATTGATTTATTGGATTTTGACCAGGTGACCACAAAAAAAAAAAGGGAGGTAAACTAAGTAGGGTATTAAGAAAAAGGCATTTCCTTATTGTACAACTGAAAGTTGCTGATAGCTTGTGCCATCTATCAGAATGAATTTCAACTATCCATTGATTTTTAATTATTCCAGAATTGGCCAAATACCCATTCCTGATTAATCAAGAAAAGCCAACCACATACAAAGTAAATAAGTAGGGTATGTAAACAGGTTGTGTTGTTGTGTCAGATTCTAGAAAGACTAAAGTAAGTTGAATATTTTAAAATAAGTATTGTAATCACTTAAATGTGCATAGTGCATAGTGTTGTAAGTAGAAATAAAACTCTTACAAAGAGAGAGAGATGAAACCTCTCACTCTCCTATTCCAGAGCTGAAGGAGGGGGTGCTGCTTATCATCAAACAGCTCGTGAACTTATGTAATTTGTGTAATCTTTACACAAGGGGATAAGAAACAACAACAGGTTTCCACATATAGTTTGTTGGGATCTCTACCAGTTACCTAGATTGATGGTATGACAATTTGACAATTAAAATAAGTTTATTGACAACTATATTCAACAGCAAAAAGAGCTCGTCTGGGTCAGGAGCTTAAAGCCGTGTTGAGTTTGGAAAGGCCCTTGCCAATTCTAGAGTTCTTGTCCCCAACATACTTGATTGAGAAATGTTGGAGTATCCTGAGTAGATTGATGTGTGTTCACCAGGCTGACTGTGGTGGAACTCCAGGAATTCCCCCAGTTTGACACCAACAAGGATGGCGATGTCAGCCAGGATGAAGCCAAGGTGAGGACTACTCTATTCCATATAGTTGGAATATATTGGGAACATGCGCATCATAATTTTTCAACTTGGTTAAAAGCCTGTAATTAATATATTTGTTTTTTCCTCCAGTTTTTAAGTATGGTATTCAATTTATTTTTGAAGTTTTTTTTTTTTGTTGGATCATTTTGTATAGAAGAATAGGTGAAATTGTTATTCAATAAGAAAACATTTTTTTTTTGTCTGGAATTGTTTTAATGAAAAAAGAAGACTATAAACAACAACAACAAAAAAGCTTTATTGAATAACAATGCCACCTATTCTTCTATACAAAATGATCCAACAAAAAACTTCAAAAATAAATTGAATACCAAACTTAAAACTGGAGAAAAACCAAATATATATTAATCCCCTAATACAGTATATTTGTTTGCTTGGTTATAGCATCAAAGTTATGAACACAAGGTAATAAGACCAAATCCAAATAAATAAATAAATAGTGTGTAAAAGAAAAAAAGTCCCTCAAGCTGGATTTGAACCAGCAACCTAAGGATTAACATTGATAAATCTACAGTCCTCCGCTCTGCCAAAATAGCTATTGAGGGCACAAATTGGTCTTATTACCTTGTCTTTGTAATCTATAATCCTAATTGTGCCTTATCATCAAAGTTCTAAGTTTTAACCGTGCTTATATATCAAGCTAAAATATCTTGGTCCCAACTAATGCGGTTATAACATGGTTTGACGGTATGCTCATTACAATTTTTACATAATATTTTTAATGAGCAGTACACTGAATGCAAAGAATCATTTTTAACAAAGACTAGCATACTGCTCATCCAAATATCATAAAGAATTTCATGCCATGAACATCGCCATGCATCTCTTTTGTATTAAAAGTATACTCAATTGTCTTAATTACAATGTTTAAATTTCATTATCTTGATATTGATTGTGATTAGCTTTTGCTTTTTTTTAATCTTTATTTGCGGTGAATCCTTGGTAAATCCATGTATAATAAATTTCTTTTCCTCCAATTTTTTTTTTTTTTTGCTTATCCCTAGTACACGTGGTACAGACCATGATAATCATGGTGGGTAGTTAGCGACTGCTTTTTACTGTAAGCTCACCACATGTCTACACATGTGAAAAGCAGTTCGACTTTGCAATTACAAATGTGCCAGAGCCCCGTTTGGTTACTTGCAGACTAATCTATTTTTTAGCTTGATTGTCTTTATATAATTTGCCCTGTATATAAATTTCATATTATCATTAAGGTACTATTACTGTTTTTCCTGCATGTATCCTACTTTTCTGCTTGGAGAATCTTTATAAGACTAAAAGGTCTTGATAAAGCTTTTTGTTGTTTTTGTATTAAAAGTATATATCTAGGGATTGCATGGATCTTGACAAAATTTTGCCTCTATTATATTCAAGATTGCAGATTACACTTTTTTTTTAGCTATTGTAAAATGATTCCTCTAAGGTTACAGTAAGGTCTCGCTCTTTCTTTATGCTGTAATCTATTTAATATACTGTTTGTGGTATGTTCCTTGATTGCTCTCATAATATTGGAAATAATAAAGCACAATTTGGATTATAGATTATAAATACAAGGTAATAAGACCAAATCCAAAAAAATAAATAGTGTGTGATATTTTGGTAACAGAATTGTTGCCATCTTCAGATAAAAGTGCTGAATGTTTTTCTGAAAATGGTTACAATATTGTTACTGACACTTCATTCAGCACTTTTGTCTGAAGATGGTAACAGCTCTGTTACCAAAACGTCGCACACTATTTATTTATTTTTGGAAATAATAGGGTTTCAAAAGGAAAGAAAATTGCCAACATTCAAGGTGGGATATCAGTTAGCTCTTACTGAAGTACATTTGATATAAACAACAGTTAGATAATCAAGTACTAAGTGTAAAATCAGTTACTGATTAAATGTGTGGTGATATTGTAGGTAGAGTTGAGAAATGACACTTCTTTCTTATCTCCACGCAATCATATCTGGGTATCAAGCCTGTAGAGCTTGAGATGGTGTCTGCTGGGGATGAGTATAGCTCATCAAAGAATGAGCTAATACAGACATTGATGTGGTTCGGAGTTGCAGGTTGAGAATTGCACTTAGTACATAGTGGGAAAACCTTGCAACCAAGAGAAATAGCTAAATATGATAACTTTCATATTACAACTTATTCCTGTTACACACAGAAACATATACTCTGGGGTATATCTATTGGTACCCTTCCATTATTCAATATTCATACTCAATCACAAGGTAATAAGACCAAATCCAAATAAAGTGTGTGACGTTTTGGTAACAACGCTGTTACCGAAATGTCACACACTATTTATTTATTTATTTGGATTTGGTCTTATTACCTTGTGTTTATAATCTACTAGCCGAATGACCTGGGCAGCGCCCGTGTTTTACCCGATTGAATGTTTTGATTCAAATACTATTTGTTACAATTATAAATTGGCGCCTTAAATAAATGCATATATTAGTTAATAACTATAGCCTATGTGCTTTATTTGTCTATGTACTGTTGGCTTCCGTAGGCGTCTCTTACTGGGAAAAAGAGAGAGAGGATTCCATTTGGTTATTAACTAATATATGCATTTATTTAAGGAGCGACCCGCTCCAACACAATAGTTACATAAACGAAAAGGCGAGTGGGGGGGGGGGCAAAGGTGGCGTGAGCGTAGCCAACCAATAGGAGGGCGCCATTCCAAAAAAAAAGCAAACGGTGACAGAGATGAAAAATGAAGAATTAAGAACGCATGACGCTCATAACTGTATATAGAATAATCCAATTGTGCTTTATCATTCATACTCAATCTATCTCTTGTGGTATAGAATTAATTGTTGTTGTTCATGTCCATCAAGTTGAGTTTGACTTTAGGTGACTCTATGAGCCAATATTCTCCGATTTGATCTATCAGTGGCCATCACTCGCGCTTTTATAGATTGGTCTATATAGTTTCCTCAGCAGTGTGTGCTACAGAAGTGGCTTGCTGCACCTTCTTTTGTCTATGCCATTGACAAAATAAATTTGGCTCTTTCCCCTTTAGGGCTTAATTTTCATCCCAAAGACAAGAGAATGTTCTTATATATATATATATATATAATGCCACGTGGAAAATTAGGGAAGACAAAAAACTTCAGGAGGAAACAAAATTTATTTCAGGGAAGGACAAACTATCAAAGGTAAAACAAAAGATAAGTCACGAGGGAAATTTACAGAGTCGCAAGATATAAAACATAAAAATGACCACTCTGTTATATAAAAAATAATAAAATTAAGAAATACTATGTTACATAAATAAAATTAATAAATACTATGTTACAATATATTGCTTATCCCTAGTACACGTGGTACAGGTCATGATAATCATGGTGGGTAGAAGTATGCGACTGCTTTTACTGTAAGTGCACCACATGTCTACACATGTGAAAAGCAGTTTGACTTTGCACTTACAAATGTGCCAGAGCCCCGTTTGGTTACTTGCACTCGCTGGTGGAGTGTGAGTTTTGCAAGGATCGGGGGCCATTGGAGCATTTTTTTTTTTAAATCAGAAAAATGTGCCTAATGTGGGAATTGAACCCGGGTCGTAGCGGTTTAGACCATCCTTCCACCGACCCCCATTCTTCCAATTCTTCATTACAAGAATGAATTTGAAAGCTTATCCCGGCTTTCATACATTCCACTTTTGTGTTAACCATCCCATTAGGATGTTGTTCACCCTCTACTGGAGTTGTACTCTCACACTAGGAGGTACAAATTCCATTCATTGGGATTGAGACCAAATCACATTTCTCAAAGCCTCCAGTACTTTTAGAGAGAACAGAATTAATACAGCATATACAAATTACTACAGGGATCATCTCAATAGGCATCTTTGTATTAAACTAAATAATACACTATGCAAAGCATCGTGCAGTGTATAATTTATTCACTGTAAATTTACAATTCTCCAAAATTCAGTCTAATACACCTCTTTATTATTTTTTTAAAATTATCCCTAGTAAACGTGGTACAGGCCTTGATAATCATGCTGGGTAGTTAGCGACTGCTTTTACTGTAAGCGCACCACATGTCTACACATGTGAAAAGCAGTTCGACTTTGCACTTACAAATGTGCCAGAGCCCCGTTTGGTTACTTGCACTCGTTGGTGGGGTTGGACTTTTGCAAGAATCTGGGGCCATTGGAGCATTTTTTTTTTAAATCAGAAAAAAGTGTCCAATGCGGGAATCGAACCCGGGTCGTAGTGGTCGAAAACCAAACAGTTTAACCAGCCTTCCACCGACCCTCCCTAATACACCTAGATAGTGTCAATAGAGAGTTATCCCCTTTTATGAAAATATCAAAAACCTTACGCAATAAGTTTCTTTAATACAAAAACATTGTGAGCTTTCGATCTCTCCTCTACAATGGGTGAAGTTACAACTGAGAGTGAAGGGAGGATATACTAAATGATGGCTATTTAATCTTGATTTGAAGTATGACAGAATTGTTCTGGGATGTCCATTCTTCTGTTATCCCTGAATCTCTGTGTGAGCAGTTCTTCCTCCACATGAAGGAGGAGATGGACCTGGAGGAGTTTGTCCTCACTGGCTGGATGATCATGAGGCCCATCTACCTGGCTGAGAAGGTACGTACACACCTCTCCCTTTAAAAATTCTCTTAAAACAATGAAAATTCAGTTTTTGAAAAAACACAGCTACACTATGCTGATGAGGGCCTACAGCCTGAAACGTGTCCGTGGTTGGCTTTTCTTGATTAATCAAGAATGGGTATTTGGCCAATTCTGGAATAATTAAAAATCAATGAATAGTTGATATTTAGTCTAATAGATAGCGCAAGCCATCAGTAACTTTCAGTTGCACGATAAGGGGATGCCTTTTTTTTTTCATTAATTTATGCACCTTATCCCAGTACACAATATCACACTTTTCTATTTTGTCACAATTCCTTTTTGGTTTATCACTCCGGTACCTAAAGTTGATAATGAGCCACAACATCAGTTTTGGCAAATTCAGACAAAAAAACAACCTGTATTTCATGGTTTTGGGCTTTGGTCCTCCTCAGTACAGGGGTGGCTTCTCTTTCATAACATCCTTTGAGAAGAATTATGAAATTTGCTAAAATTTGCCAAAAGGTTAAACACCAGCTGCTGAATTGCCAAGGCCGATTTTCAGGCTAGAATACATAAAGTTGCAGGAGAATTATTCTATTGACTCAATAAAAATTGTATTTTAATAATACACCTATCCCCTGATTTACACGGTACTTGTTTTACACGTTTTCGCTTTTACACGGTTTTTCAAATAAGTTTTTTTTTTGTTTTTATCGCACTATACTAAATGCTACTGTGATTGAACACATGCGCTGTGTACACATCTCACAAGGAATCCCGAGCTTATGTGCTGACTACATATTTTAAACTGTCAATGCATTTTATTTTTATTTCTGTGTACACCTATCCCCCGATTTACACGTTTTTCTCAGGAATGTATCTCCCGTGTAAATCGGGGGATAGGTGTATATGATTGTATCAGGGGAAAAATACATGTTTTTACCTAGTTGTAAAT